GGGAAAGAGGTACTTTTCTCCCTTTCTCTCAATCTAAGAACTCGTGGGCACTCAATTAAATTGCTGAGCGGTCGGGTTAGAAGGGATAAAAGGAAGTACTTCTTCACCCAAGGAGTGATTAACACTTGGAATTCACTGCCACTGGAAGTGGTGGCGGCTACAAGCATGGACGGCTTCAAAAGGGAATTAGATAAGCATATGGAGCAGAGGTCCACAAGGTATAGATAGGGGCTCTGGGCCAAGTGATGCTCTGTCTTCTTGGTGCTTGGGGGGGGGTCAACAGTGGGAGGGCTTCTAATGTCCTGGCCCCACTGGTGGATCTCCTGATGGCACTTGGTATTTCTGGCCACTGTGTGACACAGAGTGTTGGACTGGATGGGCTTTTGGCCTGATCCAACATTGGCGTCTCTTATGTTCTTATGTTCATTTTTCTCCACTGCAGAAGCAGAGTAAAAAGATACTGGGGAAAGTCCGTGAAAAGTACTGAGACTTACTAGTGAATTCAGGTCTCATACTTTATTAGGTGAAGAACAAGACAAAGTTACTGGCTCGCAGGCCGGCTTATATGTGCAATCAAACCCACACCCAAAACACCCCCCCACACCAGTGATAGGTTATTTATAATGGCCAAGAGTTCCATAGGCTCTCGGCCGGAAGCCTAGCCCTCTGGTTGGTATGGGCTAGGATCTGCTTGGCCCATTGTCTCTTGGAGACAAGCTCAGCCGCTTCGCATGACTGCGTGTACACCTAGCCTCACACGCAGTCGGAGATGAGTACATTACAGTCTGGTAGCAAGCGGGTTGCTATGAGCCACAGACAGACTTTCCCCTGTGTGATCACTCCAGCGCACTCCCATGGCATCAGGGTGATCTGATCAGGCCATCCCGACTCCATGCCGTTGTGTTTTTCCACGTTTCGGTATGCACATCATTGCACACTGCATAGGGAGCACTCAGTGCAGAGATGCGAATCATCGATCCCTCATTGAAGAGCACCAGAAAAACACGGCAAAAAAAAAAAATTTCACCCACAGTTGCGCCTGATCATGCAGTGGCAGGCTGTGTGATCGCGCAACTACAGGTCAAATTTCTACAGAGCAAATAGCCCTGCTTCCCCCCCCCCATGTTATTTCGAGCGTGTGACCACAACCTGAGACTCCTTTGGGTAGTGAAGGGCAGAGTATAAAACCAACTCTTCTAATTAGAAGAATATTGATGTGGTTATTCAGACACTGGCGAGATGTAGTAATCCTTACATTGTTCCAGTTTGCCAGTCAGGAATATTCCATTAGGAATGAGAATTGTGATCTATAGGGAAAGGGCAATACATGTACAGTTCTGACTTTGTGTAGTAATACTATGCAAAGTTATACCAGTCTCAGTGAATCGAGTTCAATGGATTTAGTGCAAAGGAAATCTTCATAGGATTACCCTGTAAATCTCAAAAGCTAGGTACATGTGGATCCTTCTAGTGTAGTGAGATTATAGAAGTGTGGCATAGTAAGTGTTGTGCATGTAAAACCAGTGTTTTAAATGGCTTTCTGAGTATGAAGTTTAGCACTGAGCAGCAGAGCAGATGTTTCTGGGGCATGTAAATGTAAATGTTCTTCCAGACTAATCAATAATGTGTAGCTGGGCACCTTTCTCACAAGTGCTTCTTCTTCATTCTAGATACTGACTCAGGAAGACTGGAATAAAGTCCTCTACAATGGCATGGCTTCTACCTCTTCCTGGGCTGCCCTCTACTTCATCGCCCTTATGACATTTGGGAATTATGTTCTTTTTAATTTATTGGTGGCCATCTTGGTGGAAGGTTTTCAGACAGAGGTAAAGCCTTGAATAATTCCTTGGTCCTTTTTCATAGGTAGATTGGAGGATCTAAAAACCAGATTGCATTATTATTAGCACAGTCAAAATGTTAAAAGTTGGAAAGGGGTTGTATGATTTTTTTAGAACAAAATTCTTAATTCATGTGCTGTTAACCAAGTTCTTAGCTGATTTCACATCCCAGGCTAAAGTGTAATTAGCATTAATTAATATTGCTGAACTCTGCAACCATCACTATATGAAGTGTCTTTGAATCAAAATTTGGTGTTTTCCACATGGGAGCAGGCATGTGTAGTTTCCTTGTTGTTGCTGTTACTGCCAATCCAGTGCAGCAGCAACAAGGCTTTTACAAGGCAGGTTTCCTCATAGTTCCCCTGCCCCAGTGTCCCTGTTCCCTCCCACCATACACACCACCAGGCCTTTTCAGGTTTCTTAAAAATAATTGGCAATTCGATATCTTTATAACAATCAGTGTATCACTTCTCTGAATTCCCAGCTTTTCCATTTTTAATAAAGTTCCCAGCCTCTTTCATTGTGAGATATGCCTTTTCCCTTATATCTCCGTAACAAAAAGGTGCTAGAGAGTCACATATTTTGTTATAACATTATATTGTTGTAACATCACTATAAGAATATTCAGTTGCCATTTTTTAAGAAAGCTCTTCTGGGGGCGGGGATAGCTACTGTGGAGAAATGACTACCATGTGAGCTGGACCTGGAAAATCCAAACTTCCCTGCCCACATGACAGTCATCCAGGCTTAGCTACAATCTTTTCCAAAACTTCATAGCAATGCAGGTTTTTGAAAGACTGAGGAAAGGCTACCTTGGGAGCTGCATGAATGGAGCACAGTGCTATGGGGAAGCTGGGAAAAAAAAACATGCTTCCCAACAGCATCAAACCTGAGGCAAATAACCTATGTGGAAATGGCCTTCGTTGTGTTTAGGGGAGAAACTGAAAGCTGCCCCTTAAAGGCACACAGCTGAGACCTGAATTACATTACTGTCTCATTTCTTTTGTTGTGCCCCAGTGGATATTGTCCTGTTTCCCTCACAGGAACACTTCGGCATGAACCTTTTAAAGTTTTTGTTTTTTGTGGTCCCTATGGAGTGATTTTCCACAGGTGGGGTCTTCTGCTAACTAGAGCCCACATTTGCAGCTCTCTGCAGGCATCAAGAGAGCATGTCTTTAAGTTGAACTTGTTCTCTCCATCAGCCTGGCAGGCTGGTTCATAAGAAATGAGTATATAAGAGTCTTCCTGAAACTAGCCATCAAGACGTTGTTGCTTGCAGCTCAAGCTAACAGACAGAATGCTCGTTTTAAAGCAATAAACTGTCAAAGTGATGAAGTACTACAGGAGGCAGGCATGCGACTGCCAGCATTGCTCAGCAGCATCTTGCAGTACAGGTTCTAAGTGAAAACAATGTTGGTAATATAGGTATGACAAGAGGATAGCAGCCATTCAGCGTTGTCATCGTAGTCTTTTACCGCTTTTTAAAAAAATCCGGAAGCTCTCAAAACTTTGTACTACACTTTTCACGTGCAGTTTAAGGAGAAGATTTATTGAGGATTCTTAGGGCAAGGCAGCTGAGGTCTGTGTATATGTTTTAAAATCCAGTCTTCCCTAGGTGGTTGTATTTCATTTATGTTGTTTCTGCTTGGGAGCATGCCCATGTCTGCATGTAATAGTCTTCTGTCTTAGATAATGGAGGAAAGGTCATTGTGCCAATCCTCCAAGCAGTCAAAGGTTTCATTCAAGAAGTAGATAATGCTTCACCTTCCAGTCAGCATTATGAACAGCAAAACAAATGCCAAGTCTTGTCAAATGATTAGAAGATTTCTATCTCTAGGGTTGAATGTGTTGATTCCTATAAGTCTACCTGACTGGAATATCTTTTGCTGCTAACTATGGCTTTGCTAATAATAGCATGAAATTATTATAGGATCTATCTGTCCAAAGCAGATAGATAGCTTATTTTATGTATTGAAAGGCGGGAGACGATTATCAATACAAGGCTTTTATTCAGAACATTACTCAGCTCTAATCTGACTCTGCGAAGAGTGGCATCCAAACTTATACTGCTCCAAACTGAACTATATACAATGTAACTACTTTCATGAGGTCTGATTGGACCTAAGCAGAGCTTTCTGATAGGATACTCTGTATGGCTTTAGGACCACTAGAAGGTCTTTATTATGCAGCCAATCACCACAGAGGAAACTAGGATACCTTAGCACAAACCATAACTAAACAGCTTAGAAATAACTCAGAACATAACACTCCTCCTTTGGTTTAAATAAGATAGTCCCTAAGGTAGGTAGGGGCACGTCTCGTTCGGGCAGACCATCACGGTAGCAGCGTACATTCTGGAGAATGCCCATCATGTTGGGTACCCTGGAAACGGCCAGAGTCCATGGTGTCCGGAGGCCCGTCAGCTCCGGCAAAGTCCTGAACGGGTTCTGAGTTTGTTTGGCAAGGTGCCGACTCAACCAGTGGACTGGATGTCACAATGCCCCAAACAGGAGACAGTTCCCTGCAAAGAGTAGGCACAGCAGGCGAGGGCGGCTGAATGGGCATAGCTGTTCTGATGGGAAACGGTTCCCTATGTTGACCATCAGCCTCCCAGGCTGGAGGTGACAGCCGCAGGTTCTCAGAAGGATGCATCTCCCAGGCACCAACAGTGCTCTCCGACAGGAGAACTCCCCGACAGGGAACAAGAACTGGGGTGCATTGTAATATCTCACCCCTAGCCAGCCAGCGACATCTGAGTTGGGCCAGGTGGGGGGGCCAAACTTGCCCTGCATTGTCCTGAACCTCATACGAGATGGGCCCCGTAGAATGGAGAACGACAGCTGGGACCCATTGCGGACCTTCCCCGTAGTTCCGGGCATAGACCGTGTAGTCCGGAGCAAAGGTCTTCGTGCTCCTGGAGGCGATGGGGTCACAACTAGTGTCTGGCACAAGGTCCGGGTAAACATGGCTCAACCTGGTAGACAGCTGGCGACCCATGAGGAGCTGAGTGGGGTGTAGAGTGTTGGTGGAGAAAAAAGTCAGTGAGTTTGGTCAGGAAGTTCCCTCTGCTGAGCCTTCAGAGTGAGTCCTTCATGGTTCTTACCATGTGCGCCGCCTGGCCGTTCATATATTTTTAATATATGTCATTGCAGTTGTATTTCACATAAATGTTATTGCCTGGCCGTTCATCTCCGGATGAAAAGGAGCCGAGGTGATGTATCTGATGCCCCTCTCGTCCATGAACCTCTGGAACTCGGCGGAAGTGAATTGAGCTCTGTTGTCCAAGACAAGGAGGTCTGGTAGGCCAAAAGTGGCGAACAGGCATTCGAGGCAGCGGGTGATGACGACCGTAGTCATGGAAGTGACAGGAAACACCTCCAGCCATTTGGAGTATGCATCTACGATCAGCAGGAGTGTTCTGCCCTGCAAAGTCAATGTGAATACTGGCCCATGGACCCTGCGGCTTTTCCAATGGATGAACAGGGACTGAGGGAGCTTCTGGCCTCAACTCCTTACAGGGCTGGCACGTTCGGACCCAGCATTCAATTTGTTGGTCGAGTCCTGGCCACCAGACATAGCTCCTCGCTATCACCTTCATTTTTACGATGCCAGGGTGCCCTACATGTAGGGCCTCCAAAACCCACTGTCTCAGTTGGGAAGGGACCACGACCCTGCTCCCCCAAAGGAGGCATCCCTTGCTCACTGACAATTCTACTGAGCGTGACTGGAATGGCTGGAACTTGGCCTCGAGCTTCCCAGGTGGCCATCCCCTCCACACGTAGTTGAAAACGCGGCTGAGCGTATGGTCCTGGGTGGTGTAGAAAATGACGTCGGCAACCGTGAGTGGAGGCTGAGAGAGCTCTTCAATGAGGAGTGTTTCCTGGATCTGGGCCCTGTGCTGTTCAGCCAGTGGCAGGAGGCTGAGAGCATCAGCATGCCCAATGGCTTTTCCGGGCCTGTGGACGAGGTTGAAGTCATAGGCAAAGAGGAGAACGGCCCAACGCATCATCCACAGTGATAGAATCTGTGGTGTTTGGCGATCCTTCGTGAAGATGCCAAGCAGTGGTTTGTGGTCAGTGACGATTTCAAATTTACGACTGTAGATGAAATTGTGACATTTCTTCACCGCTGTGATGACTGCCAATGCCTCCCGGTCTATCTGGGCGTAATTTCTCTCCACTGTGAATAGAGTCCTTGAATAGAATGCTATGGGGACCACCCGGCCGGTTGGCAACCTGTGGCTGACAACTGCCCTGATTCTATAGTGCAACGTGTCGCAGGCCAAAATGAGGGGTCGTTGCTTGTCATAGTGAACAAGTACTCTGTCGGAGACCAGAAGAGCTTTGATGGCTTGGAACGCTGCTTGCTCCTTGCGACCCCAAACCCACGGAGCTGTTTTGTCTAACAGCTGATGAAGAGGCTCAGCGATGGCTGCTTTCCCCAGTAGGAAGGAGTGGTAGAAATTAAAGAGTCCTAAAAAGGACTGTAGCTCCTTCTTCAGTTTCAGTGGGGGTGCTTTGCAGATTGTGGCAACCTTCTCTGGAGCAGAATGGATGCCATCTTTGTCCAGGAGAAAACCCAAGAATTTGACCGTGGGGACAAAGAATTCACACTTCTCCCTTTTTACTCCAGGGCCAACCTTCTGTAAATGACTGAGCACCTCTCGAACGTGGGCAGTCAATTCCAATTCTGAGGCTCCCGCTATCAGTACATCATCAAAATAGGGGATGATGCCAGTCAAGTCCTTAAGAAGGTGCTCCATCAGTTCTTGGAAAATCCCAGGGGCGACGCTTACCCCAAACTGCGATCGGTTTACCTTGAAGGTGCCTCGCTGCATCACAATGGTCTGAGCCTCGGCTGTGGCTGTGTCGACAGGCAGTTGTTAGTATGCCTGTGCCAAATCAATTTTGGCAAACACCCGACCCCTAGAGATGGATGCTAGAAGATGGCTCACCTGTCAAGTTCTTTAGCAGGGTCACACCACACAC